TGACTGAGAAAATAAGCAGTACCAGAACCATATATTTTTCCAATACCATTCGGTTCAATACAGACAGCAGTTGATTCATCAAGTCCGATACCACGAGCTAATATACCATGATCATGACTCATACGAGCAAGAAACGTTGTAAGACGACCATGACGATCGCGATTATCAAAATGAGAATCGGTAACAACATCAGAAAGATATGGTTGATTAAGAAAATCCTTATGACCAAGAGTAACAAGATTAATATAAGGATTATTAAGAGCTTCAGTTGAAGTAACTGTTCCTTGAAGAGCTCCGAAATAAGTACCACCTAGAATCGCACAACCCGCCGAAGTACCACCAACTGGTATTTGTTTGACATTACGCAAATAATCAAGTGCATGATGTACTTTAGTATCCTTCCAAAAGTTAACATAGTCTGCTTGATCACCACCAGCAATAAATATAGCTTCAGCATTTAAGATTGTTCTTTCAACTTGAGGATCATTAGCCAAAGTACGAGAGTCAATAAGTAGAGTTTCAACAGAATTTATAGAACCTAATTTATAAATATAGCTATTGTATGCATCAGTACCAGAAGCTCGAAGCACAACAAAGTCGCCACCACCTGCCTTCTGGATCATCCATTGAAAAGCTTGATCAACATCCTCACCACCACCGACAAGAACAGTACCTCCAACAGTAGTAGTATTAACATCTGCAACATCACCAATTAATCCTAGAGATGCAGTAGTTCTTTGAAAAATGTTTGTGTCGATCTGTAGGGAAATTGCTCTTGTTGGGTATCCTGACCAACAAACGAAAATCAGTACAAAAAGTAAATCAGCATTCATGATAAGCCTAACAATAATCATATAGAAGTATGAGACCCTAAAACTGCTCGATAAACATAATAAAAAATTGATGTAAAAAAACAAATAGGAGATTCATATTGTCTATATTGATTTAAGACTTAAAAGGATCAAGCATTCGTTGGTATATCTTGATATTGCAGAAAATTATTTTGAATAAGAACAGTATGATAGTATCATTTTGTGCAACATGATCCTATCATATGACTTTGCAAATAAGACAGAAGTATTAGTATTTGCTCTATGATTACTGATGTGAATGCATTCAATCTATTGTATATAGCCTACTTTCACTTAAATGTCATATTCATTTATCAATGTACTACCCATTTCAAAATATAATGTGCATCACTATTTTTTTGAATAGCTTCTGATAGGAAAATCAGAGAGATCTGTGATTTTCACTATTCAAGAGAGAAGATCCATTGCCATTGAAGTATACCGAAATTTGATTGGTCAGCAATGAAGTAATTAGGTGAATTCTTGATGGGGATTTTCAAAGACGATATTCTGAAGGTATTTCTCTTTCAATCTACACAAGGCCGACATTTCTAATTTCTTCTGTTCGAGAGTTATAAGCCTTTTTATGAGACTCCCGATTTCAGTCAAGTGGCCTATGATCACCGGGAAAAACAGCTAGGCAGGAGTAATTCATCGTGCTGAGTCGAATGATGATATTTGTCTTTAGGTTCGAACTGTCCGAGTCTGTTATCTCAATATTGCCGCAATGCTGGTTCCTGTGGTAGATGGAGACTGATTGTGGAATTTCAACAATATTGCGATAACAGTGTCAGATCAGTTTGAAACTAAAAATAAATGTCACCACTGAATTTAGCATGATAAATGGTCCCCACCTAGCTGCTCTTCTCAGTCATCACAGATCAATTGGTTGAAATTGGGAGTCTAAGGAAAAGTCTTATAACTCTCGAATGGAACAAGCTAGAAATGTCGGTCTTGCGTAGATCGAATGAGAAATACTTTCAGAATACCGTTTTCGACAATCTTCATCAAGAACTCACCTATTGATTAATGGCTGATCAATCAAATTTCGATATACTTCGATGGCTTCGGATCTTCTCTCTTAAATGATGACAGCAGCAGGTTTCTATAATGTTTCTATGAAAAGTTATTTAAAAATAGTGGAACACATTATATTTCGAAATAGATAGTATTAGTTACATTATCTCCATCTTCTATAGTATTCTTTATATGAAATTAGACCTTTCTCTTAACGTTATGTTGACACTTGTAAAAACTATAATAATATTGAAATGTATATTCTTCTATGTTTATGCATTCGATTATTAATAGATTATTTCCATATTGGTTGTTCTTTAATAGAAGCAAGGTCAAGTACGAATAAAACAGAATGAAATTGCCGAACAAGAAGATATGTTTGTCTAAATACTCTAGTATCAATTAGAATGAGGATCTTGTTCAAAATTTAATATACGAAGCACATTCAAGAAAGTTTATTTTCACAACTGCATCGAATCATTATTCTTGAATTCTTATGTGCATATGTTTGTCTTCATGTAATTGTAATGTGAGTTATTAAACATTGTTACATTTTATTTCGTTTATTATTTTTATCTGATTTTGCTGCAAAATTTCATCATTGAATTTTTGAACTTGTCTGTCATAAAATTAGAGAATTATTCTTTAGTTACATTTTAATTAATGAACTCATCACATGTAATTAGATATGAGCTGAAAGAGTCAATATTTTTACATATATTCATGTGAAATAATCCTTATAAAAAGTTAAAGTGCAATCAAACATGGTCAGATCCCGTTTTTGCTTATATATGAGTCGTTTCAAGTAAAACAAGACATATGCACCTTTCATTTGACTTTAATTCTTTAGACAGGTTAATTTTTTGTGAATAAGTTCTTTTAGCATAGACATATGTAAAAATGTTAGCTATTTTCAGTTGACTATTAATTAAAAAGTAATTAGCGAATATCTCTCTGGTCATACATGGAAAAAAATCTGAAAACTTTAAGATAGACTCTACGGCATGAATCGCATCTATGATAGAATTTTCAGAGACAAAAATTTTTGTATTACTCTCATCCAGAAATTATGGAAGAAGGATTTGTACCACTCAGAATGGACTTTGATTTCCACATAGTATAGTATATATTGTAAAAAGGGAAGAAAAAAAAGACAGGGAAAAAAAAAGTAAGTAGAAGAGTAAAGGATGTTAAACACAACAATGAATGAAATGACGACATCATGACGAACAAACAGAAGAAATGAGTGAACGTAAAATAACAGCACTCACAAACATCTATATATGACAATGACAAGATACAATTTCTGAGACCAAAAGAAAAAAAAGAAAAGAAAACATTGTTATCTGTCAAACGTCATTCGTACAACTTCAGAATATTTGTTTTTCTGTTTCTTATTTATATACACTTATTTTATTTTAAAAAAAATAATAATAATAAAGCGACTATCTAGATGAATTTGTATTATACGATGTTATAGGTGTATATTGTTGTTGAAGAAATTTTGATGCAAGTAAATCTGAATGTTGTTTTACAACAGGACCTATTTTATAAGAAAGTAAAAGTAATAAAAAAAAAACAATTTTTTTTTGTTTTATTCTTTATTTTTACCATCTAATTTATCATAATCAATTCGCATACTTTTATGTGTTTTACGCCAAAGTTGTACATCAAATACACAATAAACACCTGTTTCATATGTATCATATTTTTGATCGGGCATTATATTTTTTATTCGTGTTAACCATATACGTTCATCTTTATGATAACGCCAATCACGTTTATATAATTCATTTGCAGCTGATAATTGCACATAATCATTACCAAATAAAAAAAATAAAAAAAATAATGTATCTTCATTTAATGTTGAAAAATTCACTTGAGGTAATTTTTCACGTATTTGCATACCCATTTGATATTCAAATGGTACTTGATAATCGATTTCATATGCACGAGCTTGACTATCAGAAAATGGAGAAATAAATGATGGATGTAAATCATTCGTACTTTCCATACCTAGAAAAAGAAAACTGCTTTTTGTTTTTTTTTCTTAAACTTGTAACTTCTTAGAATTCATATATTTTCTCAATATAGAGAATTTGTTCTATTAAATTATATTATTTTTCTTTTTATTGTGGAATGGAAGGAACGAAGAATGACTAATTCAAAAATATAGTAAATCATATTATTATTATGCTAACGACAGAATTTCTTCAAGTGATAGATTGTTTTTGAGATGAGTTTTATACATCATTAGGTATGACCTATTGAAATGAAAGAAAGGTTAGAAGATTTATTGTTCATAGATTTTTCTTATAGGATTAGTGAGTTTTTCAATACAAAATATCATCGCACTCCCTTTCAAAATCGACATTTAAAATTAAACATTTCACAAATAAAGCTCTCAGTAAGATTGATTCATTGTAAAAATATTAGATTTTGTAATTTTTCTCTTGAATGGTATGTAAGATTTATCTATTTTCTTAGTAAAATTAATATTAATCATGACCAAAAATTAAGTTTTCATTATATTTATATACAACTCTATTAGATTTTTTTTTTCAATAAGAAAGAAATATAAAATCAATTTCATACTAAGTCCAAGTGTTGTTAAATCAAAATTAAGTAACATTGATGAATCTGGATTTTTTTCAGCTTGTTGAATCATTTGTAAAAGACCAACAAGACCATATTGATCTGTTATTGTTGATGATGGTAAACCATTTGTAGAATTATTTGATAATGTTGATGATTTATTATTAACTGATACTTGATATCGACTTATTAATGTACTTAATGCATCAATAGATGATTTAAATGATACAGGTGATTGTGATTGTGAATGTTGTGTTTGTGTTGAATTATATCCATTTGATATTGTTGATGATATTTGATTTTGATGATGTGATGGAATATTTAGTGTTGATGATGATGTTGATTCATGAAATGTATTTCGATGTGGTAATGGTGGAAAATCTTCTTGTTGTAATTCAAACTTAGAGATACAAGAAAAAAAAAATAATAATAATAAAATAAAATTTAAATATAAAAGTTTTGTTTTTTTTTTACATTTTTTTCAATTTGAGTCTGAGAAGATGATGATCCAAGAATATTATCAAAATGTGATGATGATGATGATAATGGTGATGATGTTGTTTGTTGAACATTAAGAAAATTTGGTTGTTTCATTAATAATTGTTGTGTTAATGTTGATGATGGTTGTCCAATAGTTGTCCAATGTTTTCCACCACCGATAGATCCAAGTAGGGATGATGAATTTGATGGTATTGATGTTGGTACTGTTGAAACTCCACCATTAGTGTTTACATTGAAAAAACATGATGGTGTTGTTGATGATGATGATGTTGATGAATTGGCAGTTGATGCCAAATGTAGATAAGACATAATGTTAAGAAAAATAAAAAAAAACCACAAAAAAAAAGTCGAAGAAATTTTTTTATTTTCTATAAAAGATAAATATATACACATGTATGAGACAATAGCTGTTAATTATATATGTAGATGATTTAATATAATAAATAAAATTTAAAAAAAAATGTTCAATAGTCGATATTTATTTATTTATTTATTTATTTTTCCTTTTTTAATGAGAAATCTGAAAAAAAATTATCATTAGCCATAGGAAAAAAAAGGCCCGGATAGAGATGAATTGACATTCGAAGAAATGAGTCGCGACAATCGCTGTAGTTTAATAATGCTATTAATGGAGATAATATGGATAAATTTTAGTAAAGATATTTTTATATACATATCTAAGAATAGAATATTTTTCGAACGAAAAAAAATATATAAAAATAGAACGAAAGATATGTGGCGACATATCTATTCTGATTTGTTGGAATAATAAAACCATTCAAATGAGTTCGTTTTTTATTCTGATTCGCAAAAAAAACGAATTAGGTTTTTCAAAAATTTTAGAAAAAAATAAAGTACGAACTTGAGAATTTTAGAAACAAAATAATGATTGTAAAATATAAGTAAAAGTTTCGAGATTTAGAAACGAAATATTGTCAATTCCATTCCAATAATCGCTAATCTGATTAATTTAAACGAAGTATCACAACAGAAATATAAATACTTCCAGAATTAGTGTTTACGTCAAATATGCATTTATATTTATATACTTCATCATTTTGACAAAACATTTATTCAGTATAAATACTAATTTATTCTTGTAATATTGTAAATGAAAAGTAAAACTATGTATTCTTTGTTTTTTTTGTAGATCGAATGTATGCAAAATTTCTATACATAGTTTTTTTCTTTTTTCTTTTAATTAATCTAGCAACATATGCTGATAAAAGTGAATCAGTAATCGCTTTTGAACCATCTTATATCAGCATTATAGTTGGTGAAAGTGATTCAGTTAATGTTCGTCTTCTTATCCCAGATATAATTCCACCTGATGTTTTCATTGAATTTCTTTATAATAATAAAACTGAAGATACTCAAGGTTATATTGATATTTTACCAAATGTAACATTTACTCAACAAGCTGGTATTGATCAAAGTCGAGTAATTATAATAAATGGTCGTCGTCATGGACATCTTGTTGTAACAGCTCAATCACCACAAGTTAATATATCATCTATATATGATTTTCTTCTTATTGATATAGCACGTAGTAAAACATTAAATATTTTAATACAAATTGTTGGTTGGATTTATTTTGTTGCATGGTCAATATCATTTTATCCTCAAATAATATTAAATTTTCGTCGTCAAAGTGTTGTTGGACTTAATTTTGATTTTTTAGCATTAAATCTTCTTGGTCATTCATGTTATTCAATATTTAATTTATGTTTATATACATCACATGATATTCAACAACAATATTATGCTAAACATCCACATGGAGTTTTACCTGTATTACTTAATGATGTAAGAGATATATAAGATTTTGTTATTGTACGAGTATGTTGGTGTAAATACTGAACAATCAGTCATCAACGCAGAGTCTACTGAGGCAATGATTACATTGACGTCCACCAACTCACTCTATCAAAATATGTCCTTTTGTGAAGCATAATCTAAAACGAGTGTTGAAGTATAGAGGTAGAAATTTCACTCCTCTCCTCAACACAGACCGTATATCAATAACATCTCATTATAATATTCGAATTACTTCTTTATTGCATTTCTAGAGGATTAAGTAAAAGAATAGTGAGTGATTAGCAATAGCAGGTACATCGTGTTTCACATTTTAATCCCACATGAATTATGCTAACGGCTTTTATCTATAAAACGATTTAATAACTTTATGACTATTCTATAAATTCCGTTTGATATGATATTCTTCTTTTAACTTAGTGAATATTAAAGAAAAGTCTATCTATGACTTTACTTGAATATCTTGTAAAAGAAGCAATTCATTTTTACGACTATTCTACAATGAATATAAGGAATGTCCTAAAAGTTTTCAAACAATTGTAAAATTCACTATGAATGTTGTCAAACATATTTTTTATCAATCGAATTGAATCAGTAAATTGTACTACAAAGTTAGCCAGCATTTGGATGCATTAAAGAACAAATTACAAGAGCAGAAATACAGTAATATTGTATAATTCAAAAATGAGATTAAAAAGAAATGGAGCAAATCTAATGTTTCTCCATGTTAACGAATAATCGTGATTTAGTGGATGAAGCTATCGTATAATTGCTTTGTCATAATCGAAATGAGATTGTGATTACAACGATGCAATTTTAGTCGAAACAACACCAATAGCTAGAATCGATTGTAAACGACTTTCTTCAGTAACAGAATAACCCACACGTGAGAGCAACCGCCATCTAACAACCTAGTTTGACGATTACGGACTCGTATACGCTCTCTATACGATCGTTTACGGTCGTATTTTGGCAGTTTATATGTTTCTGTATTACGGTCGTATATCGCCGTGACCGTATACGTATTCCATATACGAGTATCATACACGACTGTTTCTTTCTCCGTTTACGACCGTGCTTATTTGACCTGGGAATCGATAAGATACCAGCACGAGTAAAATTAGTTATGTAGTACTATGCATGTACAATAATCTGCCAAGATTTTAAAGCTTTTGGAACATTTCTTTTATTTTCTTTTGGTATTCTGAATATCTTTCTTCAGGTTTTAAATCTTCAAAACAATAAATTCAATTTTTTTTTCTTGACATCAATCAATAAGAAAATTTTAAAATAAATTCTAGGTTTTATTCAGTGTTCATGCTGTATTTGCATGTTTAATAACTGTTGTTCAATGTGTATTTTTTGAACGTGGTAAACAACGTATATCATATACTGCACGTATTATTGGTAGTATATTAATTATTTTTTTATTTATATCAACAATAATTTCATTGACAAATCATTTATCAACATTAAATTTACTTTATTTTTATTCTTATGTTAAATTAGTTATAACAATAATAAAATATGTTCCACAAGCATGGATGAATTATAGACGAAAATCTACTGAAGGTTGGTCAATTGGAAATATTTTACTTGATTTTACTGGTGGTATATTAAGTGTATTACAAATGTTTTTTCTTGCAACAAATTATAATGATTGGTCATCTATATTTGGTTCACCAACAAAATTTGCATTGGGATTTTTTTCGGTTTTATTTGATGTACTTTTTATTGTTCAACATTATATACTCTATCGAACTAATGAACATACTACAATGCAAACTAATCTTTCGACCAATGATGAAGATGAAAATACACCTATTTTACCTCAACAACCTTAATTGAAAAAAAAACAGTTTTTATTATTTTTCTATGATTATTATCTATGTGACATTGTCATCTCCTGTCAATTATGATCAAGAATAAAATAAATAATTCTGTATAAAATTCATTTTTTGTGTGTTCCTTCTCTCATATAAAATATTTTACCGATCAGAAAATAATTATTTTATTTTTACAATTAATTGTGAAGTCTATATACGTTTCATATCATAGCTTTATATTGTGATTTATTGCTTTGCTTAACATAATCAAGAATATAATTGATTCAAATTTTCTCTGATGATTAAAAGCAAGTTAATAATTGTCTTATTCAATAAAATTTAGTGTGATAACGATAACAGCGATGACGTATATGTAGAGAAAGAAAAAATAAATTAAATATTATTTTCCATTTGAAACAGATAAACTCTTGTACTAATACTGCAAAAATCAAATCTATAATTCGAATCATATTCAATCTAGTGAAGAACAACTATCGGTATACAGAATAGTCTGTATACGATTGTAAATGAATAAAATGTAATATTTTTTACGACATCACGTAGGTTTCCATTTGCAGACATTCATTTCCAGTATAATTACATATGCATTATGAAATGACCACGGATTTGTTAATTGAGTTCTTTGTATGGTATGTAATTAAATAAAATTCAAGTGATTGTAAACAACACAATGCTTAAGAATTCATCATAGTGATTCTCTCAAATGATTAAGTAAACGTCAAGCATTCATCCCATATCTACCCGATGTAATGAACTGTTTAAAATCCATGGTCAGCTGCTGGCTGGTAATGTACAATCAATAGCTATGATAAATTTCGTCTACTATCAAGAAGTAATTGATAATCAAATGATTCTATGAACTTTCTCAGAGAGATTAAATTTTCATTAGCCTTGCATAATATTCCGAATTTTTTGTTTTTTTTGTATTATTGTGAAGCTCTTGCTAACGGTTTCGAGCCGTTTCAAATATTCACATGAATAGTTTTCGTTGAGTCCTATATAATATAACGAGATGCAATTATTAAAAATGTCTCACTGCCAAACTTCGTTTCCGTTAATAGTACCTTGTTTATCAAGTGAATAAAAATAATATATAGTTTTTTTTTAAGTAGTATCCATACATCATTTCTTCGTTAAATAGTAAATACTATAGATGGTAGAGTGAATTCTGTTTTTCTGGATTTTTCTTACAAGGATACTTTTCTAATCTTTTATTTATCTGTTTAGTCTAAGCCCAGATAAAAGTATACGATAGACAAATGACTATATGTGTTATAATAGAGTACCAAATGGTGTCCTAAAATCTAAAGATGATTTCACAAACATGATTATACCATCCAATTTGCAAACTAATAATTTATGGTACAACAGAAGGACGTCCACCAACTAATTGATTACTTTTGAATCATAGAGGTATTGCTCTTAATATACACTGACAAATTCGATATTCTTATTTCAAGATAGAAGCTAATCAAAAGATCTGAAACTATCAAAATAAACTATTTTCATTGCGTTCTGTCTCTATGCAAAATTTCAAGTCGAAATTCGAAAATTAGTTTTCCTAATGATACTACTGCATTAATTTAAAAGAATATCGTAAAAATACGATATTTCTACTCGAATAAGCTAAATATCCAAATTTTGTTTAGGATATATATAGTTCATTACGGTCTACAACAAAAGAGTGTATCTACATCCGATCATACAATTAAATAAGAACTTGAGATGATTTGTAATTTCATCATTTACTGTTATAAAATTTATCATTTTACACTATCTACATTCCATAAATTGTATCATAAATGAATTTATTATTTTTTTATTGATCTGAATAGCAACTTTCCTATTCCATTAGGATTTGTCATATATCCAAACACATGGTATTCCAATAATTTTCTAAAGAAAAAAAAAATTTTTATATGATAATCATCGCTTCACTATCCTATATTTATTTATAGTTGTTATTTTTTCTTTTTAGTTTTAAATTAAGATAACAAGGTCCAACTTTAGTAAATATTAAAAAAAGAAACGTCAAGACAATGAATATTCAGCTAATCAACAAGAGTTTCGTCAACAATTATTTTTACTGCCATTGTACACAAAAACATATTCATATGAAATTTAGTCATGTTTCTAGCATTGGCATTTGTCGTGTTAACAAGTTTAGACATGAAAAACAAAAAATAAACAAATGAAGAAAAGAAAAAAAAAACAACTGTTCAGAATGTGCGTGTATGATGATAAGAAACAGAGAAAGACAACAAGGGGGGAA